GACAGGCTTCCCCCCCGGGCTGGCTGTGCTTCCCCAGGGGGATGAGGGTAATCTAAAATAATAATAATAAAAACCAAGCAGAATTCTCTCACGTTCAGACGGGTCCACGTGGAGAAAAACTTGCGCAACTCCACGCGCTCTCACTCCTTCCTAGTGGATCTTTAAGGCTAAATGGGAACAAGGGTGGAATTTAAGGGGTGCCTCACTCGTTTCTATTTTAAGATAAGGTCATGGAAGGTTGAAAGCATCTACTTTACAGCTTTATTTTTTCTGTGCTTTTATTTTAGGGACAATTACTCCATAAGGTATCGTAACTTCCATGCAATGGACTGCTATGTTCTTGCTTTTTTTTTCCTCTCTCTCTCCGAATACATGATGTAGTTTCTCTTTGTAGATTGCTTTTATAGTGAGGTGACTGAGGTAAAGTTTACTCAGTAAACTTGCTTTTCCCTTTGGGCAGCTTTAGCCCAGATAAATGGGCTCTAAAGCCCCAGTTCAGCCTGGGACCAGGACTGTTTAGCATTGATCATTGTTAGTTAATTGCTGTTTGTTTAAATATTTAGTTTGGATTAAGTTCTTCTGTGCTCTTTTCTTAAAAAGTAATAAATAAAGGTGTGCCTAGTGACATGGTAAAGGGCTTTCTAGAAGGTTTTTTAAAGATACGCTGCAGCTCAGAAGCTCCATAAAATTATTTTCTATATTTTACATGTGCATTTTTCTTACATGTAACTTGCTATGGTATTACTTATTATTAACAAAGCTAAAATGTCAGTGATATTTGACTCATTCCTGCATAGCTTTTCCTCTGAAGTTGCACCATGGTATAGTTAAACTCACATTATTCCATTGTTGTCTGAAGTGACTGCAGACTTCTTGTTACTTTGTTACTAGTTTCATTCCTCATTCTGAAAAGAAAAAAATTCACTTTGCGTCATTGTTTAAATCCACAACATCTAACTCGGGGCCTCCAGTCATCATCCTTTTCACTCTCTGTTCCCCAGAGAAAGCAGAAAATGCTGCCCCGGCATCCTCTGGGGCTCACGCTTAAGGGCAGCTGTTGTCACCGCAGAATGGTCCTGAAGCTGGGATGCGACCCCAGCTTCAGCATCAACCATTACCAGCGAAGTAGCAACAACCTGCATGACCAGAGGCGGCTGTCCATAGCCCAAGCAGCTTCACAAGAAATGCAAGAGGGTTTCACCCCTTAGTGGTGCAAACAGAAGTCTTATACCCAGCTGCCATGGTTTTTGAGAGTTGGGCACCTAAATTGGCTTTGTTCCTGTGAAAATGTTCTCTATAAAGGACAGTGCAGGGGAAGGCCAGTTTTGGGAAAGGCCACTGGGGATGGACTACATTTATTACACTTAGCTAGGAAGACTAGTATCAACACTCCTGTTTTTCCACCCCATCCACCCCAGTGGATGTTGTAATGAGCAGAAAGGATCAAGATCTGAGTTTTAGGGTTAGTTTTCAAAGCAGCCCTTTGTTTTCAGGTGCCAGGAAAGCCTGGATCTCTGTACGTACAGCAGGTGGAACAGCACCCATGACCCGCGAGCATCCTCTGCTCCGCGTGGCTCTCCGTCAGCACCCTCCTGCATAGTGCCCAGCTGACGTATGGGATCCGGCTGGCTTGTTGCACAAGGCTGTGTAGTGCAGGTCAGGCTGGTGTAGCCGATGTGGACAGTAATGCGGTGAGAAGGCCTGAGAGAAAAATCAATGAGCAAAAAGTCCAAATGGCAAGAGCATACTTCAGCGTCTGCTAGTGCAGGAGGTTCAGTGCCCTTTATAAAAGACAAGATCTGAATTTCATAGTGTCTTTTTTGGTACAATGCTGCAAACTCCTGTGTTCTGCAGCAATGACCCAATCATTATATAAACAAGTGTTTATTTTTGGAACGTTAATATTTAAGAGGCTTAAGTTTCTTTTGCTCAGACTTGTTTCCATACACTGCCCATTTGACAAAGTGTTTCTTACCTACACAGTCTGTTGCTAGCAAAGCATCCTGTAGCTGTGTTCATGGTCCATTTGAGTGAGGCCTTATAGTCAAGATAATTCCCTTTCTTCGTACTGCTCTGTTAGATTAGGGCAGGGTTTTATAAAACTACATCGTCCTTTTAACTCCTTTTAACGTGCCTTTGAAACAGAGGCAAGTAACACTAAAAGATGTATTGATGCCAAGACTGACATGGATAATTGTCTAGAATGATATTACCACTACAAACCAAGGCCCTTTGGAGTATAACCATAGAGCTCCATCCTAGGATGGCTCCTCTACTAGAAGTAACTTGTATAACTTCTACATACCACCATCTGCAAGGAGAGAGGCTGGAGCAACGTCGATCCCCTTTTGCAGTCTTCTGGAGGTAATTTGCCTTTGCTTTCTGCAGAGGTCAACGATCATTCAGCATATATTCAGCTTAGTGATGATAACACAGGTACCTCCTTGGAGGGGACAAAAATTCAACTCGTCACCTGTAGCCAAAGACATAGTTTCTCTTCTGGTTTGTTACCAGCACTTCAGCCTTGACTGATCTATTCTAAAACCAGTAAAGAAGCTACAAGAACAGAAAACAAATTGCATTAAAAGTGCTTGTAAGAAATAAGTTACCATGGAGATGGAAAGACGGGTTCTTTTTTTCCACATGCTATTAGAGGGTAGTAGGTCTTTCTCAAACAAACTTGTATGTTCTTGATGGCATGGCTTGCGTTTCTGTTCCTTCACAGTGGTCCAAAGTTATAAGGCATCTGTGCATTGGCAATTTGGGTTATAGCGATTTCCTTCAATGATGTTCTCTCCAGTCATCAAATGACTACGTTTCCAGTGCTGAAGCTCGTTGATCCATGGACCTTGCGCCACTCAGAGTAGCTCCCTTTCAACTGCCAGCCACCTAAATGGGATAGATTCCCCTGTCTCATGATCCCTGCAAAATGTACCTACAGACCCTGTCAGAAGAAAGCTTTTGTTCTTTGTGCTCTAGGAATTATGTTAGCATTCTGGAAAAGAGATAACTGTTCTTCAGGCATGACTTCGTGTTTCTCATACATTCCCTTACTTTCTTATCTGGTTCCACTTTCATGCAGTAGCCTTTCATGCAGTAGCATACCATTCGGCAGGCTATTTTCATAAAGCATTGATAGAAGTAATGGTGTAGGTTTTGCACCTTTTAAAAATGTTTCAATTGCGCAGTTTTCAGGGTTGGCTCTACTGGGCTGTGAAATGAATAGGAGTGGTGGCATCACTTTTAATCTACAAATTCTGAATTTAGTCAGTTAAATTTTTGCGCAGATGCTGCACATCATGGGCTCCTTTTTTTTACTCTTCACTGTCTGTTTTATCATGGATGAACCTCCTTGATTTTGTACCATTTGCAAATGTTGCCAACTCACTATGCACTGAATTTCCAGAGCATTTGTGAGCACACTGAACAGCTCAACAAACTTTCAGCTTTCTGGCCTCTGTGCTTATGTATGTTTGAGCATCAAGCGTTTCAGTTTTCACCTGTACTAAAAAAAGTTTGTTACATGCAGTGCAAACATCCTCCAGAGGCAGTTGTAGGCCATCATCAGTTCTCCTTTTGGATGACCTTATCTTAACCTCACTTTTTCACGGCAGCGATGGCATTGTATAACCCAGATTTCAGCCACTGGGGTGGTGGTTTTGGTATCAAGGCTGTGCAGAAACAAATGATCGTTTGCCACCTTAGGGTATAACAAAGCAAGGCTGGCTTTTCCTGCAGGGCGGATGCAGCTCCGTTCACAGCAATGGCCCTGCCAATGGTGTTCACTAGCTGAAATTGAACTACTGCAAGTGCATCTGTGTGTGTGGAGCTTTGCTGAAAGATGAACCATTAAAATACTGTTTTGAGTCCAACTCCAGGCATCTGGGACAGTTGAGGTCACAAGCAAAGCAAACAGCTTTTTACCAAATCCATGATAAGTAGGAAACTATAGAAATCACTGTGAATCACATCAGAAGCATCCTTTATCAGTAAGGATCTAACTTGGATGAAGGTGGAAGCTCTGACTAGCAGCCTCTAGGACCGTGTGTCCAAGAGCAGGCCACCTTTTTTTTTTTTTTTTTTTAAGAACCTAGACTCCTATTGCAGGTGACATACATGTTTCACCTTACAAGTGCAGGTGAGAGAGGTGAAGAAATACTCTACAGGTTTCCAGAAAGCAAGCTGAAGATCTCCAGAATACCATTTTAGAATGTGTTGGTTGCATGTCAGAGGGGAAAATGCTAACAAGAGTGGCTCTTAATTTTACAGCTGAAAAGCAAGCCATCTGGGACCCTGGAAGTCCTGTGAGGTAGCCCTGATTAAAGAGCATGTGTTTCAGAGAAGACCAAGATTTAGGTCTCAGTGATTCTTGGCTCACTGATGTGTGCATCTGATGGCCTTATTTTCACCTGTCATACCCAATCTGCTTCCCTCTATTCCCCTTCAGTACCTCCCCCTTCTCGCCCGAGGCTTATTGATGAGTCAAGTGGGGTGTCTTAAATGCCAAGACACTTTCCTGCACAAGTTCCCATTTCACAGACTTCTTGACTACTCATGAGCATTTGTGACCTTCTACACTGCCATAGATTTACCTCTTTGAAAGCTAAACATCATGCAGATGTGTGTAGTAACACAAGACAGCATTTTCGAAAAGAGAAAAGCTCTTTTGCTGATTTATAGTTGGTTGGGGACCACAGGAAAGCTTATCAAAATGGAGCAGCAAGGTTAATGCATGTGTTGCTGTGAGAATCACAGCCTCCCTTTCCATCCCAGGTCATGCAGAATTTCTTTCAGGCTTTGCACTGGGAAGCAGAATTACCACCATGTGCTGACATCTCCCTTTTTTGTTTCTCACTCCCAGCACACTGTTTCCCCATGCTTTGCTTTCTTTGGCTGCTAGTCCTTGAAAGTTAATAGCCTATCATTGGGTGCCCACTGCATCTCCCGGGCAACTCTGTTCATGTGTAGATAATTCTTGATAGCTCATTTGCACCAGCCTTTACTTTTCTATGCAATTCTTTGCCTCAAAGATGAAAATAACCCCTTTAGTACTACTGTGCAATACCAAAATGAATGTGGAAACCATGTTTATATATTTACAAACACACAAACACACACACACACACACACACACACACACACACACACACACACACATATATATATATGTAGTGTTGGCCTTCGTGAGTGAGGTGAAACTCGCAATGTAAAACTAATTGTTACTAAAGTCTCGATGTCTTAGTGCAACAAGGATTATCATAGTTACAGTGTAAGACTGTCAGCTCAGCTGTCATTTGCATCTTAGAAATGACATTTCTTCTAATATTACTAATAAGTTAGAATCTATTCAATAATAATTTTAGAATCCATATCTTTCTCATTACTTAAGATATATGCATCTCTTCCTTTTACCTTGTTTTTAAAGACTTTATGAAGACAGTCTGTTAGATCTCTCTCATTTTGACTTGGCTTATTGACTTCTCAGGGCTGATAACTTTGTGTACAAGCGTAGCAAGCTTGCGTGTCTCTTTTTTTCCTCCTCAGTCTTATTAAGCAGCACAGTAGTCCTGTAAAACCTTTCTAATGATTTAAGTTTTACAAAATCTGAAGGCCTTGTTCTTTTGAGGAACAGCAACTGTTAGGATCAAGCTCTATTACCAAATAATGGTAATAGTGAAATCTGTTAAGGTAGGCCAAATGGTCAAGGCATTTGTTCTCAGCTTTCAACACAGTACCCAGTCAGCTTCTCTCCGAAAGTTCCCACGTAGGCAGAGGCTCAGCATAGGTAACTTTCTAGCAAATACAATCGTTACACCAAATGCTGCTGCCTGAAGACCATTTTAAAGAAATGGGCAGCAAAGGAATGAAATGATCCCAGTTTATAATGCACTGATGGAGGCTGTTTCCAAGCGGGATTTTTTTTTAATTCTTTCTTTCTAACAGCTCCATGGCAAAATTAGGTGAGCCATATTAATTGTGAGTTTCTTCTCATCCGTTCTTGAACTGTTGCTGGAGCTGGCGTGTGTATTTGTGTCCCATCTACTCTGACACACCTTGCGCTGGTTGCCAAGTAACTAATCATATTGCTGAGAGCCAGTATTGTGTATGAACTGCTCTGGCATTCGTACTCTTCCTCTTCCTTCTCCCCACCTCCCACTCTGCCTTAGCTAGATTTATATTAGAAATGATAATCCTGCAAATATGACCTCTCTTTTCTGCAGTTTCAAGCAATGCGGATGTGCATATTAAGAAAGTAAGCCCAGCGGTGGGGTTGTAGGTACAGTTGTGACAAACAGGGTGTAATTACCACTGGGCTAATAACGTGCACCTCCGCGAGATAATTCAGGTTACCATGGTTACATATGGAAAATAGGGCTACAGGTTAACTCAGGCCAGTGTCGCATGAAGCACAACATCTCACGTCATCTTGTGCACACCTGAGACAATAAAAACCAGAGTGGCTGCCATCATAAATCCCCGAGTCCCCACCCAGCCCTGAGTTTGTAGGTTAACTTCCAGCAACTTCCGAAATAGAAATCACTGTGTGCAACAGCCTGACGAATGGAATGAGGGTCAGTATAAATTAACCCACTGTAAGAATCCGGCAGAAGGAGTCTGACTCTGCTTTGAGACCTGTTATTTATTGTTTGTGTGCCCAAAATTTTAATGCCTTATGTAAGCTCTGATTTTTCTGAGCTCTCATGCTCTGCATATTAAGGAGGAAGTCTCAAACTAAATCATGCACCTGGATTTTAGACTCTGGTTCCCTGGTCTTTATATACAAGTTGCGTACTTGCACAAAGAGGTTTATGCATTAGCACCAAAGTCTAGCTGCTGAGAACTGATATCCAAGACTGCTGGAAAAATTCAAAGCTATGGCCTGTGAAGCAGATCTGTGTGTTTTGGCTGGTGCCAGAGCCAATCTCTTTTCTTAACAGTTGTCTTCAGAGGAGCATGTTTGCTATTTCTGTTGGAAAACTGAAAGCTCACCCACTCCTCTAAAAGTCACTGTTGAACTCCGAAGACCACTTAAGCTATTAGTCCTTAAGCACCTGCCACTCCTCAGCAATACACTTCAGGAAGCTTCAACGATTTGTAACAGCAGCAAAGATCCTAATTACCACAGAAGTAAAACTGGGACCTAGGCAGAGTCCAGAAAAGGCTTTCATGGTGCACAAAGACAGTAGCCTTACTGCTGTGAGCACTGACATGAGCTTGCGTCTTGGAGGCAAAGCAGATGGCTTCAGCTGGACTCAGGAGAGCTCAGACTGATGCTGTCCTGAAAACGGTCCCCACCTTGCCCAGAGCAGTGGAGCTGATACAACCCAGAGCATCAGAAGGACCCGCTGCCATGTTTGGGTAACTGTACGGCCGAAAAAAGCTAGAAATGGCCTTCCCCCTCCCATCCCCGTCTTCTTTAAGTGCCCCTTTCTCTGTCTCCCCTGGCTGATGACCTGGCCACGGGACCTGCGTGTGTCCCTCTCGGGTCGGATTACTGCAGCTGACCACATTACAGAGCTGCCCAGAACCGGCATCTTCAGCTGGTAACGAATGTGGCCACCCACTGCCTCCTCGCAGACTAGGCCCCTGCCCTGCTGGCCTTTAGTGACACATATTAGCTCTGCTTTAGTGTTTTGATGGTAGTTTCTTAATCAGTTAATGCATCGTGACCACTATTCTGTAAGACATATTTCAGCCTGCAAGCCACAGCTGTGCTCTGTTGGGCCCTGCAGAGATCAGAAAGCAGGAAGAGTGCTGTCCATGGGGGAAATCCAGCATGGAACAACATTCCTGGCAGTTCTGCCTGCACCCAGAACATGGTCATCTTTAGGACTTAGTGCAAAGCCTTCCTGTTTGAGAAAAAGCTGTCAACCAAAGGGACAAATGAAGCGGGGAGTGAATTAAAGTTTAAAAAAAAAGTATAAATTGCTACCGCAAGCAGAGGTTTGTTTGTTTTTTTTTTTTTTTAATAAAAGGGTTTGGAAACGCTGTTACATCACTTGGGGACTCTGCTATTTATCTTTCACAGTAACCGTGAAAGGGAATACAGTGGTGGATGGCAGCACAGAAACCTGAGGGATACTTTCTGCCAGTCTGATCTGTGTGTGTTAAAGTACACTCATCTGTTACCACCCTCCAAAGACAGAAACCGCACATGCACAGGTGTAAATGAAGAGGCAGTAGAGGACCTGCTGGAAATATGACTCTCAGCTTTTTGAAGAATTACATCCCTCGCTTTGCTAGTCCAGCTCTAAGGAATGCAAAATGTCAGCATGGGATCAAACTTAAAGAGCGATTACTTGTATTCAGTGCAGTTAGTGGACAAATAAATTGTGTTCACTGTGTACAATTGTGTACAATTTTTTAACAGAAGAATATGTATGATCTTTGGTGTATTGTTGAAAATGTATGTATTTTAAGAACTCTTAAAAGTTTTTTTTCCTTCCTCATGATATATTCTTCTTGCCTTGTTTTTTGGGAATAGTATGAGGAGCTGGTTCAGAGGCAACCTAGTCCTTTCCATTTCTTAGGTGCTGACCCTTCCAGTAGGCTGAGATCTAATCATCAGGTATCCTGTCCCCTTTAAGGAGTAATAAGATACAGAGGCATGTACGGTTTGAGAAGGAGTTGTTTTGTTTTGTTCTAAAGAAAAATAGTTGGCAGGAACATGAGCAAAGCTGAAAGTATTTTCATCTGTTTTTTTTAATGATGTTTAATGTTTTGTTTTCTACTTTATGAATTATCCATGGGAATCATTCAAAACACAGGTTTCTCATTCTAGAAAGGGAAAAAAATATCTGCAGTGGACAAATATGACTAATCGATCGCTCGAATAAGAAAACCAAAAGTATCCTGCTAAAATGACAGGCCTTTTTTTTTCTAATTAAAAAAAAAAAGTTTTCTATTAAACTTTGACAGAAGAGTTAATCTAATTTAGGTTGAAAAAAAAATCTAGGCTCGGAAAAGTATTTTGTAAAGTAATTTTCATTTTGCTAGCTTGAATTTAAGAAATTAATAGTGGTCCTCAAATGAAAGTTGCTATTGTAAGTGCAAAATACCCTTCCTAACTTATAGACGGTTGTGCACCTGTGTTTTATGAAAGGCTGGAGAAGAGAACTGACCAAAAAGTTTAGAAACAGTTAAAAAAAATTTTTTAGTAGTTTGGGGAGAAAACAGCTGGGAAAGGAGTTTCCTCTTGCTCCCTCTTTCATAAAAGTATTTTTAAAAGATAGTAGCGTATAATTATTTATTTTTAGAAGCAGCTAGAAGCCTCAGCTGAGATCCAGAGGCCAGTGTGGCTAAGTACTGTGCAAACAAAGACAGCTTATCCCTGGCCAAAATAATTTACAAACCCAGTTTAAAGTATGAGGAAAGTATAAAACTCAGACAGTACTTGCTAACATCAGCACTAGCATGAATGGCAAGATAACGCCATGGCTAGTGACAGTATGGGTTTAGTCAGTTGAGCTAACTAAAACCAGTTTGAACATGATAATTTTCAGTAATAAAAATGAAAAGCATTTCAGGAATTTTTCTAATAGGAGCAAATAATTTGTGGTATAAAGTTTCAAATACCAGAGGGGTGCCTGACAGCACATGCTTAGTGATGGCCTGCTGGCATGCACGTAGGTAACTTTGTGTGCAGGTCCTGCAGCTCCTGGGGGGTTAGCAGGTGCTCTACGGGGTGTTAAGTGTGGGCTGGAGTAATTTATGTGAATCACAGAGTTATCTCCCAACCATTTGCTGTGCTTATAAATGAAGTCACTCCAGACACTGGCAGGCATACACATATACTCAGTGAGAAGAGCTCTTGTATCCATAGGGCAATAGGTGTTTCTAAGTTACTGCCAGGCCTCTTTTCACATTTGCAACAGCACTATCTTTCTGTGTTAGGCTTTAAGCAGTTTGGGTCAGGGAATGGATTGTTATGTACAGCCTGTAAAACAGTGGGCAAAAAGGAGATCTGAGCACAGCTGAGGTCTGCAGGAGGAAGAGTAACTGTAAAAGGGCTGCTTAGGAATGTATGTAAGCAAAATTTTGCCCATTCACTTGTTACTCAAAGATTAGAAAATCTTGCTTTGTCATACTAAGTTTGATTAAATTTTTAATGGGACATTTTCTTGTGTCCAAGGTGGAACTTCGGGGATTAGGAGGAGACGGCATGACTGACAAACCCGGACTTCAGAATAGCCAAAAACTCTGCTACAAAGTCAGCTGGGATGTGGGATACTCAAGCTGCAAGACTATCTTCTGTGGAAATCAAACCAGGGCTATGCAGACAAATTTCTTTCATGCAGGTGAGCATCTGTAAGCCCAGAGCATCCATACTATCCAAAACAAGTCTTTCTCACTTAATGAAAAATGTAAAAAAGCAAGTCCCAAATCCTGGATTTTCATTTCAGTGCAGAGGGGAAATGATTCTCAAAAAAAGTAAAATGAAATCTTTTCTGATGAGCTGTAAGAAAAATAATACTTAATGAAGTGATAGTCCTAGTCAAAACTACCAAGTTTTTTTTCCATCCAGACACCTTCTTCCCAATGATCCTTTTTTTCAGAATACCCCTCAGCTTGAGCTGTAAACTTTGATCTTTCCTTAGGGATGAGTCAGCGCCGACTTGCATTGTACCATCTCAGAGAGTTCTAAAATTTACCACCAACTCTCTAATCCATAGTGCAACCCGCCAGCTTGACAGACCTTGACATGAAGCTGTTAGCAGTTCAGATACTACCCTCTTTGATGTCAGCGTCCTGAAATTTGTCAGGACTTGTTTTTTTTTTTTTTTTTTTTTCCAAAACATTCAACAGGTTCAGATGGACACTTTAAATTAAATTCTTGACATTTCCCCTGTAGTTGCGGAAGATTTGTTCCTTGGATACATAAATCCAAGGTAGTGACAGAGTGTTTGATGAAGTTTTCGTTTGGTTTACTGGTCTAAAAGATCTTTTAATTGCTGGTTATCTTTTTATAGCAGCAGTTATGTGTGCATATTGAGACAGGTCTCTAGCAAAGGGGGCCCTAATGTTTATCTATTGATTACTGCTATATAAACAACAAAAGGAAAATAACATTATGCCCTGGTTTCTGATAAAACAACACAAAGCCATTGTAGATGAAGCAATACATTTTCTGGTTAAATATTTAGATTGACAATTAATATACATCTTTTACAGTGGGAAAAAAGTTGTTTTCATTAGTTTCATAGGCTTTGCCAGAAGAATAAACTACTGTAGTTTGGAAAGCAGAGGCTTAAATAAGTGTATTTCATTTTGAACAGCTTGTAATTCTGCGTAGGTGATAGTAAGTCAGCTCTATATATGAATATTATCCAGGAGGAAATAAAATGAATAGAGAGTTATGGAAATCCCTTCAGAGTCCTATGAAGTGTATTTCAGCATGGGACCTTTCCTTAGGGTTTTTAATCATTCCATGTAATTCTGTCACAGGACCATAATTCTCCAAGTGTTTTAGGCAGTTCAGAAAGTCTATAACAAAGTTGTTATTTTTTACATGTTTAACTAGAAAAATCACACGTTATCTGAAACTTTTGTTTTCTAGTGGTTTAGTTTGGTTGGTTCTTCTTGTTTTGTTAAGTTGGGAAAGCTAGATTTCCGAGGCAGGTCACTGAATTATGCTTGTGTCCAATCAGCTCAGAGCCGTGGCAGCCTGAAGGCCAGCGAGGCAGAGGACGGTGCTGTCACTCGTGTTACTTTAGCCAAAGGACTGCATGTTCCTAGAATTACGCAATAACACCCAGTGTGTTGAGCCCCCTGCCCCTTCTCCTGCCACAATGGGCACTAATCCCCCCCATCCATTCATAGCCTTTGTCTAGGCATGTGAAATAGGAAACCTTGAAAAAGTAGAAGTGTGGCTGTAATTAGGATTAATCTATTTTTAGCAAGCTGTCTGGTGCCCTGTCCATGTTCCAGCCGAGATGTTGTTTAAAGATATCTATCTAGCTTGACTCATTCTGCAGTTGTACCCAGGAATGATATGAAAATTTTCTATAAAAGCATGAGTTCGTTAGGAAGTTTTTTTTTAATTTTTGGCTGGCTAGGTTTTTTTTTTTTTTTTACAAAATAACTGTCTTTATTTTCCATGTACAATAGGAATCCAGCTGGAAAATCCAGCACTAAAGTAATATAAAGGCTGTCTGCATAAAAAAAGCTACACACCTTTTACTATCATTATTATTCATTTTACTGTGTAGTCTGGAAGCCTAGTCATGGATTAGAAATGTGTTGTACCACAAGCAGCACAAACAGGGAATCAGCTCTTAAAAGCTATATTGATTGAAAGCACGTAATGGTATCATTGTGATTTTTCCTAAATAGCACCAGGAAAAGATGTTAAAGATTCATACGAACAGTCAGCTGCGCACCTGGCCGTTTACTAATCCTATATTTAAATATCTACTGGTCATGTGGTTAATCTTTTAAACATATTTCTAAAGAAACTTTAATATTATTGAAGTATGATTAGACGTTAGTGCAACACAACTGGACTGAGCCCTGAGATGACCGTCTCTTGGTTGCCTTGAGATGGTTTGTCGTTCATAGATGTCTCCCTGCCAGCTGCCCCAGTTATGTTTAGCTTTTGCAAATATTCATGAAAGGTGTTAGACTGAGCCCTTGCATGGGACATAACCCCTGTGGGCACCCATGGTAGATTACAACAGGGCTGGCAGTTGGGTTGGACTCGTGTTTTGGGGCCCACGCTCCAGTTGGCTGTGAAAAGGTCAGTTGCCCAGAAAGAGGGGAATCTGAGGCTATTTTCTCTGTCAGTGTGGAACAAGTAGGTCCTGGCTATTTTCGCCCTTACTGTAGGTAGACTGTGACTGTGAAAGGAAGGCCTGTGCCCCCAGGGCAGGGAAAGGCTGTACTTGCGTCAGGTATATTTGAAGACTGCAGCTCCCTTACGGCCGGCCGTGCTCTCCAATGGGCAGGGTGGAAAAGTGTAAGCATGAGCTGCATGTGCTGGAGGTCCAATTCCTTGGGCCCAAGAAGAGGCTCTCCCTAGGGAAAAAAGGGCTCCTTAGCATAATGCTCTTCCTCTCCCCAAAAAGGGAAAAAAAAAAAAAAAAAACCACAGCCCAGGGGCATGTCTTGCCTAATGTGTAGGGGCTATTTTCCTCTACCCCCCACTTATTCCCCCCCTCCATGTATTTTGGTGACTCATGAAGCTTCACAGTGCTGAACGTGGAGAATGGCTATTTCTGTGCTTCCACTGCAATCCTTGCTACCTCCAACCGTGCTGTCAGTGCACCTCAGCCATGCAGAGCACCCCCGCGGGCTCTATTCTTAGCAGCTAATAGCTGAAATAATTACTTTTGTCTCAGCACTGTTGGCTCCTTAGATTTGGAATGTAGCAAAACCTCCTGCTTGTGGAGTCCGTCTGCCCCCCTTTCCCTTTCCTGTTGAGGGCAGAGCAGCCCGGGACCTGGGGGAGCCAACGAGCTAACTTCCTGGCAGCATTTCCTATACTGTGTTGGCTAGGAATGCTGCAAGATAGCAAAGAGAATGAGCAGAGCTGTCATTTGAGGATGCTAAATACCTTGAACTTCAACATGGGGTATAAGCTCTCCTTTGAAGAAGCTTGCTTGTTAATGTGGTGCCATCTCTTTGAAAAGGATCTTAGCTCTTCCATCTGGGAGTTTCTGAGACTTCATATGATAAATTCCAGGACTGCAGCTTTTCAAAGTGATGGCCAGGTTTTCACCTGCAGGTTTCCATTTCAGTGCCTGCTTTATTGCATGGGCCAACCTGCACAAAGGAGAATACAAGCATTTTATGTAAAACTGACTAATAAATACACATGTATCCCTGACAGCTGTTGGGAACTCACCCACATCTCTAGTTTTGCAGTCTCTTGATCTAAGTATCAGCTATTCCATCTACTTTCCAAGAACCAGCCACTATAGACGAGTTTAGGAGGTTGGGGGAGGGGGGGCAGGAAACCCAATAGCTGAACGGTACACACAACAGGGTAAGGCAGATGATTGATCTGAGTCCACTTCATAATCAGTCCGGTGTGCACATCCAAGTAGGTGCACAGAACCAAGTTTAATACTGTTTCAGGCTTTTTTTTTCATTGCTACTTATGTGCCTGCCTGTTCTTCCTGCTGTTGGCTGGGGCTACAGTGAGAAATACGAAATACTGACTGTAATAGCAGCATATGCATGCACTGGGCTAGCAAGGAAGTGTTTTTCAGGGATGGGTTTTTGAAGTAATCAAGTCTGGCCATTACTGAAAATGTTACAGAAGCCATTTATCTGATGTTCATCAATGAAACTTGTTTGGATAACAAGAAACCTCTCAGGGTATGAGAGCTCATCTAAAGGTATGTTGTGAATAGTAACCGTTCTATGTGAGATTAGATTATTATCAGTGTAGACAAAATTTGATGCATTACGTACCACTTAAAATATGCCTTCATGGACTTTGGTAGCTGTGTAAGTAAATATTCTTATTTTGGAGTTGCGAGTCTCTAGTTCCTTGGAAATCTCCATGACTTGGTGATGGTTAGTATAGCATTTTAAGATTGCAAAGCATGCATGTATATGAACGTACACGCATGTGAAAATAGAAGGAAGGCTTCAAAGTTGTTGTACTTCTGCTTTTATTTTATGAAAGAAGCGTTTCTAAATAATTTCCTATCAACTTCCTCTAAAAGCCACACTGTTCCGGCAGCTTCTGTTTCAAATGACAGTTAAATCTCACTGAGTCGGGGCTTTTTGTGCAACAAGGGCTATAATTAAACAAGAGGCACAGCTTGAGTAAAATCTGGGAGCAGGGAACGCCCAAATTTCAATACAAGCTTTAATACTGATTCCATATGCGATCTGGGGCAGATTATTTAACCTTTAATGCAAAATTGTGTTAATACCATTTTAAATAAGCCATTAAGAACTTGCCAGTTCCCCTAGGTAACTACTAACATCATTATTTCTTTAGTTGCCATCAATGTAGAGAATTGTTTTACTACAGCAAATAATTAAGTAGGATTTTTTTTTTTAAGAAGGACAATTTGCTCAGTATTTCAACATTCAGATTAATAGAAAGTTCTAAAAAATTCATCACCCTCTGATCAGTGAAGGTTAGGAGAAGTAGTCCTGGCAGATATGCAACTGTGTTATCGTATATGCTGGTATTTCTTGAATGGAGCTGGTTGGGAATTCTGTGCTGAAATATATTTTTGTTGGAAAATATCAGTTTACTGGGTTGTGAGCATTTTGTGAGAAAGAAGAAGCTCTGACAAATTTCACATTTTTGAAAAACAGATTTTGAAATAGTCAGTATCCCATGGCAGCATTTTGAAAAATACTGTTTTGCATTTTAAAAAAACTTTCAGGAGTTTTGGGTTGTAAATTGAAGAACATCATAGTGCTAAGCATTATTATTAACGTTCCCCTGCTCATCTTTGCCTGATTCTTTGCTGCTTCAGTTTATAACCATCTGCTCCCGGAGGTGATATGCTGAGACATCGTTTACATGAATATTGAGGTTGAGGGGTTATACGGCTTTACAGCTGCACAGACTTGCTAAGTCTTGGGCAGGAATTTGTTTGGCGTTGTCGAGGCCTTTGAATTATTTGATCTGAGTGTTTTAGTTAAACAGGAACATGCTCTGATTTTAACAACTGTCGTTTCCTGTAGTCAGGAGGAAGGTGTGGCTGATGGCATTTAAACTGGAACCTGAGCCAAAAGCTCACCAGCAGGAACATGTTAGTTCTGTGTAGTGCCACTAGGGCTTCATTCGTCATAAAAGACGCAGACCAAGGACGCTCCTTAGTGGATGGCCAAGGTTATTTCATCACCTACAATACCAATAACATTTTAGACAACATTCATGAGTGTTAGACATCTGTAACTTCAGATTTCACATCTCATTGCCATTAAGGTCATTGGGCAAGATAGCAGAAAATAACATGGGAGTTGCCAACAAGACCTGAAGACGCAATTCTATATGTACTGTATGGCATATAAGTGTTGACGATATTATTACTGTCAATATTTATTATTATTATTATATGTTATTGCAATAAACACCACGATTCCCCTGAAAGCAACCAAAAATACCTAATAAGAAATCCATCAAAGCTCCATTTTACTTTCTCACTATATCACAACACTGACAAAAATCACTCTGTGCTAAAAGCACTAGTCAACTGTCCCATTTCTGACGTTCATCTTTCATCTTGAAACACTACAATACATAGTCATGTCCGGATCCTTGCTGGGTCTTACAGCTCCACTTGGCTGGCTTTTGTCTTGACTGTACAATGCTGGTACATTACTGGTATACTGTAAATCAGCAGCCTACTGATGGGAAAAATGGGGAATGTGGGAAAGCCACTCTGACCCTGAATGTTGATGGAGGTAACTTGAGGTAACTCAGGGGTAAGCAAAAGCAACCCAGACACAGAACACATAAAAACTGGCCTACTTTAGAGCATATCAACTCTTGAGTGACTCATTTTAGTAGCCTTAGCACTCTTACAATTCAACCTTCATTAACTCAAGTACTTATGCTTGTGGCTTTGGCCACAAAGCATGTATGTAAGCGTTTAATCCCCATAGGTTTGATTGCATAAGAAACCACGTCTTGCGGCATTTAGTTGACCCAGGACTACTACTTTTGGTTGCATGGAGGTTCTATCTCTCCTGCATCAGATACAGCAAACCTTCTACATTTCTTGTATTGGTGTCTGCTCAATTTGCTCTTCGCCCCACATGAACGGCCTACCCTGCTCTCCCAGATGCATGGCTCATGTGATATTTTTTTTTTTAAAGAATCGTAGCTGAGAAATAGGGAGCTTGCAATTCTTCTCGTTTGTGTCTGTGCGTAACAGGTGTCATTTTCAGTGTAGTAGAGACAAATCCCAAAATAGCTCAGGCTCTTCAGACGCTGTGAAGAGAAAAGCTAGTGGTTAATTCAGCTTTGGTTGTAGTGAAAACCCCAAAGCTCATAGCCAGCACTAAAGTCCAGAATTAAAATGGCAGATATATCTGGGTAGCAGTGATATCTCTAGATTATTTATTTTTCAAAGAGACTGCTCTCTCTTCTCTTGTATGTGCAGACTGACGCACGAACTCCCTCATACAGTGCTGGCTTTCCATTAGCTTCTCTTTGATTCCCAGATGCTGTATCTACCACTGATCCTCCTCCACATTTTCCGGTTTTGAGGATACAAGACTGGAGAGCACTGTTTCATTTGCCTAGTGCTGAAGTTGACTGAATGTGCTAGAGTTAATGCCATGGATTGTCTTGTGGGGATAGAGGCAAGGAGAGAGTGTTTCTCTGCAACATTTTTCTTGCCTGATTATGCCTGCTGTGCTGAAATATGTAGCTGTTTTGTGAACTTTCTTGGACAGAGATTATTGGATTCTAGTGACTCCAGGAATGCAGTTATTTATTCCCCCTGCCTACAAAGAGTATTTTGAATCTGTGTGTATGATAACCTTATTATGACTGTTTGTATTAGGAAGAGCCTATAGCTTTCTAGCACTTCCTGTAACTTATCTTACACAGTGCCTCTGCCCAGTGGCTGGACCACATACAGCTCACTGTCCTGAGGCCAGCATCGCAGGGTCGTCTGGATCCAGCAGTAGTTTCATGCTTTCAGGTCCAGAAGATCGGAGCTCGTTCACATGAGCAGATCCTTTGAAGTAGCATTGTGCTTCATGGTAACTGCATGCTGAGTAGCATGCGGGCCTAAAATATTTTATTTTCCAATATCAAATAGTAGTTCCTGTCACCGAAACAGTTAATCAAAAAGCACTAACTCTCCAGTGGAGTGCGTGTGCGTGTGTGAACGCGCGCACGCATGTGTGTGTGTGTCTGTGTGTGTGTGCATGTGTGTGTGTGCGTGCGTGTTTGTTTTTTAGAGCCAAGAAGATTTGCTTTGGTTTTTTTTAAACAGAAACCACCACAAAGTTGGCTGTGGTTTCAGCTGCGCTTGTTCGAGATTTGTATTGCTGACTACCAATACTAAAAGAGTTAACCTACTAGCATGACTCAGAAGCAGAGAAAGAGATGCAATGCTGAGAGGTTTGGAAGGAAGCACAGAAACAGAGGTGAGGAACATAATAATGACAAGAAAAAAAAAAAGAAGAAGAAGAAGAAGAAGGTGCAGCGTGCAGGAGCGACTTTTCCCTCGGCGTGCCTGGCCCTGGCACTGCTGGCACGGGCTCCCTGGAAAGCTGCAGTTCCGCCGGTATAACACAGGGAGCAGGCTGGAGAATTTAGAGCTGCGTCACAGAGCTCAGAGAGAGAGCGAGAGAGCAAGCTCCGTCGATAGGTCTACTAGCAACAGCCCTGCTGCAGCAAGAGGGGAGAGAGGCAGCAAGAGAGAGGGCTCAAGAAAGAGAAGTAATGCCAACACTGGGGACTGGGCTCCTGTCGCCGTCCAGCGTCACTTAAAGAATCCTATCTGGGCTCCGTTGACATAGGAAGCTTCGCCCATTGACGATGCTGGAGATACGGCGCGCTTAATCCCGCGGGGAGGGAGAGTGGGCAGACACCGAAAGGGTTAACGGAAGGGAAAATTCTGGAACCTTCTATTCTGCGGCGCTCCACAGCAAGCGGAGGGCTGAAGACTGCGCAGATGGTGCACGGACAGAGCTCTTCGGTCCGGTTCGTCTTTCCCACGTACGTACCCTTTGATCAGGATGGGGCTTGAACTGCATTTACGTTTTTTTAATTATTTGCTGGGCGTCCCCTTCCCCCATCGTCCCTAAGTTCAGATCCCAAAGTGCCTTTATTATTATTTTGGCTGGGTATGATTGCTCTGTTCTGCGTCAGAGCTGTTTTCTCAATGGAGTGATGGCACAGGTTGTACTAATGTCACTCTTGCCGGCATTGCTGTAATGCAGAGGAGGGTAGTAGCCGTGGGGGAGAGATGACAACTTTGCAAAGACTGCTGTTTTCGTGTTTTGTTTTGGCTCTTTATTCCTTCCTGTCTCTCTAAAGGCTAGCATGTTGGCAAGGATTTGGTGGAAGGGTTAACAGACGCTCTGCATTTCAGAGCTTGGAGGTTTGTCACTGCGTAGTTCAGAAAGTGGTAAACGGTGACGCAGTGATCATTGCAGGGCATGTCGGCCCGTTTTTAAAAGCACTGGGGACAGGTACGTGGTGCCTTCCAGACGCTTCCAAACCAGCTGAAAGGGGTTAAGGATGAGTCGAGCCGGGAAGCTAGCATTTAGGGATTAAATGTCATCATTTTGGCGTTGGAAAGTTGTTTACCTTGCTCTCTCCGTGTCTCCATGTTGGCAGCCTTCCAGCTCACATGTGATAGTCTTCCCTGTACTGCTGCATCATTAACTAAGTGGCCGAGCCCGCTCCCGATTGGCTGGGGAGGGCTCTCGCTCTCAGCACGCCGCGCTATTGGTGGAGAAGGCGCTGGCAGGTGAAAAGCCCTCCCGGATTGGCCACGGACCGGGTGTCAAATCCGAATGTCGATCTCACTCGCTCCGAAGTGCTGGGACGGCTCCGTGCCCCGCCGGGCTTCTCCCGCTCTCCCGCAGGGCGGCCGGCCGGGAACATCCCTGCCTTTTGCAGCGTTTTGCTCCAGCACAGCGACAGAACGAGCCAAAAAAAAAAGAAACAGAATGAACTTTTTGCATGTGATGCCGATGGTATTGTGCAAATACGCGGCGGCGAATACACAGGTCTGCAAGTTTGCACTGTGTCAGTGATAGGAAGGTTTCATTTTGCTGCACCGTTGTCGCAATGACGTGTCAGAGCTGCTAACCACGGTGAAACAGGAAAGTACTAGAGTTTGGGGCTTTTTACTTTCTTTCTTTCTTCCTTATAAGGGAATTAAATGTTACCTTCAAGCTTTGGTAGCCCAAAAGTAAACACGGTAGCAGCACTGTAAATGGCTTGGGGCAGGGACTGTATCTGGAAATTATGTCACGGGAATAACTGAAGAAGTGAAAAAGACTCTAGGCTAAACTCTGCTTTCATTTACATACGCGTGAATTTGACACAGTCTCAGTAACGTCAAGGAAAGCTGACTACAGCCCTGTAAAGGTTTAGAAGAAAATAATAGCATTAGAAAGCAGGAGTAAAAAGAGGACTGGGAAAAGACTAGGTAAGGATGAATGGGAGACTGAGGGCAGACAGCATATCCAGAGAGAGGACGAGGAGATGAAGATAAGGAGGAGAACATTTTACCCTCTTAACCATTTACTATACTATTTTTTCCACCTCTCTTCTTAAAGTGATGAACAATGAAGATGGCAGCTCTGCCTGGAAGTTCTGACGACGCAACCAGATTTGAGCTTGGTCCTTCTGGCCGAGGAAGTCACCTGATTATGCAGTGGAGTGGTAACTTTGCTTTCTCATACGGCAGGGTACATTATTGCTTAGCCTTTCATCATACCAAGGCTTTAAAAACTTTAGGGAAAGGGTGGCCCAAGTGTTTATATGACTTACTCACTGACATCTCAAGAGTCAGGTATGGTTGTTTAGCAATAACAGCTGGGTTTAGAACCAACTCCAACATACTGAGCTCTCGGTCTCCTTCTCTTAGCAGTAGCCTGTCCTTCGAACGGCAGTCTGTGAGAGAGAGAGAGAGGCTGAATTTACACACATACACCCACCATGACAGAATTTTGTTTCTGTTCGGTTGTAAAGGCCGTATGCCCTGCAGTTTTATCCCTGACGCCATTTCTTTGCGCAGTAACACAGAGGGGAGGAGACCATTTCCAAAAGCAGAGCAGTGAGTAGGAAAAGGGAGGGAAGAAGACAAGACCGTAGGTGCCCCTCCCCACTTTTTTCCTCCTTCCCTTCTGTTTCTTGCCCCCCTCCTTTTCTGCCACACCCCAGAGGGAATTTCAGACTCTTACTGCAGCCGTCACAGCCCCTCCTGACTCACTGAGCCTTCGCTGGCGGTAGCTGGCTCCCTTGGAGCATCCTTGCCTCCTGCAGCGCCAGTTCCGCAGAGCAGGGGAACAACAGGAATAGCAGCAACAATGGTGGTCCCTGCAGCAAGACGGACAGGCGTAAATACACACATATATAAGAACAGCACATACACAGCAGCACTCGTACGAGGCAGCAGCAGAGGTAATTCTCTACAGCCAGGAGCTCGACTAAGAAATGACGTTCTGTTGCTCGGAAGGCTGGTGGGTTAAGTCTATTTTATTGAGCGCTATCTAAATGGACGACCCTTTGCATTTTTCCCCATCACAGTTGTGGGGCAGCGGGCCCCATTAACTTGCAATGGTAGTGCTTCTTAATGGCATTCCTCAGTCCTTTGGAAGGAGGTGCATCTGGCAGCCCATATACTTACTATGGCATATTCATCCTTTTAGAGTTCGGCATAAGGATGCATTTGTTTTTATTCCTTTTGCTACTATCTTTTTGCCACAGAGATGGTTTAATTGCAACTAAGTGCAGGGAGGGAAAGGAGACTGAGAGACAGAAGAATTATTTCAGCGTTAAACTTCAGCTATAAATCTCATTACTCGTGAATTGGTTACTGTTACCAGATAAATCTGTGGAACTTTGCAAGATTATGTGAAACAAGGCTAAGCAAGGGACGTGGCTTATTTCTGTAAGTCAGTAGCGATTTTGGGCATGTGAGTGGTATCATTACTGCACATTAGTGATATGGGTAACTGTTCCAAAATGGTTGTCAGAGCATCGCCTCAAAAGGACTTGGAAAAGCTGTGATTTCTTACTCCCTCTGACTTTTGCGTGTGTGACATTGTGCAAGCTGATTCAGTTCTCTGTATTTTGGTTTTCTTCCTTTGTAAAGTGGGGTTTATTATACCTCTCAGCCTTAGTGCGGCATTATGACGCAGTATTCGTTAATGCGTTGGGTCTGCTGGCAAAATACATGCAGTTTTCTTGGGGGTTTTACTGTACGAGGCCCGCAGAATTTGATAAAGGAAGTTAAGGATTGCAAATGCTCATGCCATAAATTCAAAAGCATTACCGTATTATTCTTCTCTGATAGCTAAGGAAGGCGCTCTGAATGACGAGGCAGCCATGATATCTTACTGCACTTGTTTTGCCGATGGTCGTGTTACATCTGTGACGCAGTCCGATTTTGCTGTTGGTTGTTGTCTCTGCTCTATGGAGTTGAGCTGATGTGGACACACACTGGAAGATGGTTAGAAACATTAATTTAATGTTGCTGGTAAAGTTCGCAACCATACCCAAAGTGGCAGGGATATCGGCATCCACCTATTTCACCACCCTCAAACAGCGAAGGAATTCAAACGAACACGACAGCACCCCTAGCCATTTTGTTGCTCACAGAGGAGATGCTAAGCCTGCAGCGCTGCTGCTGCTGCTGCTGTTAATTTCCATGTCATACAAATACAGCATCGGGCTCTGTGTCAGGAGCTTTGCTGATGCTGTGAGAAGCTTACAGTCTACACGTAAATGTTTTTTTTTCATTATTTGGGAAAAAATCCATTAATGTGTCCAAACACCAAGTATTTTACCCTCACTTTTCCTACAAATCACTTCCAGAGCTAGCCAGAAAATTCATTGCTGCCTTGTATTTTTTTCAAAAACATGTTCACGGTGTTTTCTTACAGTTTAATATGGGTGTGGCTGGGGTGGGTGTTGAGATTTAAGATGCACTGGTTAAGTATCTGTACGGCTGATGCTAATAGACAGAGTTGCATGCAAAATATATCCAAGTTGCCCATAGCCTCTATATTTCTATACATAGATACATATATTCCCAAGCCTTGGTTGCAAAGGTGCCCTTTATGGGACAAGAAGGGAGTACTACATTCTGTTCTCACCCACCCAAAAGTTTTTTTTGCAAATAAGGCTGTAGAAATGGCTAGCTTGCATTTCAGCAGCATTCAGAGATGCCAGTATTATATAACGTACCATGGCACGGCTCTGATAGAGGTACCCATAGCTGCCTGCTGTGTTGCCTGCGGCAAGGTCATTCCCCTGACTCACTGTCGGTGACCAGTTGGTTCTGGAACTCCCAACCTACATTTCTTGCAATGGCGACAGTGCTCTAGTCCTGAGCCTGGAGGTAAGGCTTGAAAATTAATGCTAATGCAGCAGTGGGCCATTGAGCCCCAAAGCATAGCTCCAAAAAATCCTGTATCTCCGAAGTGTTTTAAAATCCAGGTACGTTTCTTGAACTAACCGCAAAAGCAAGCTTAGAACCTTTCCACCAGTTCCCTCACCTCTTTTTCCTCCAAGGCTTCCTCTGGACTGCTGGGAACGAGGAGTGGCATATTTTTAGGACTAGGCATCAAGTTATTCTGTGTTCCGGGGGGGGAAAAAAAAAAAAAAAAAAAAAAAAGGTGTCCCTGCATATATTTGCATTTCTGTTCCTGTAGTCATTATCAGGTGGACTCTGCAGGCTGCTCTAAGCGCTCTCACCAGTGTCTGTCAAGCTACTGCTCTCTCTCATGTGCTTTTAGTTCCAGGTACCTCAGCTCAATACCTGTCATGGTCCCTGCCAGGTTTCCATGTTTTTCTCAGGTGTGTCCACTTGTACACATTACTGTTATATTCATTTGACTCAGGGCAGCATCAACCATGGATATGCTAAGGTTGGCTCTAGTTTTTCTCAGCTTCATAGGCAACACTGAGCAATTAATGCCTCAAGGATGTCAGACGAAAATAACTTCTTTTCCTTACCTTTGCAGTAGCAAAGTTCAATTTGAGGGCACGGTCTCTGGCTCCATTTAAACAAAGAGGATCTTGGGGTCCAGCAGAGCCAGTACAGGCCAAGCACGGACCCAAATGCATTCTTCTTGCTTACAGTTTTGCTACCCTCTATGTTTCCTGCCCTGGGCAGCTTCCTGCATTGACTGTGCTTAAAGTCAGCCATGGCCTCCAGTATCCTCATTCTCTAGTTTTCAAAGGAAAAGAACCTGGCTGCTAAGCCTGATGCCAGTGACGACTCTTCGCCTACAGGGAGGCATATGTGATAGCTTGTCTGCTAAAAACTGAGCCAACACAGTGTGATTCAGACCTTAAGCTTTCCAAGGAAGGAGCTATTTCTGAGTTAAGCACATCCCTTCAACTCCCCACACAAGCACTCTTTTCCCAGTGCAAATGGTGCACAGTATCTGTCCATCAGCAGCCACTGGTTTTGTATTTGAATATACAATTAAAATGCTTCCTAAACATTGACCATAGCTCCCAAATACACAGTAGAGTTTCAGCAGTGGTAAGGACGATGAGAATTCTGGGAACAGATACTAACCAAATAGCTCAGGCACCTGCATTTCTCAGGGGAGGCAACCAGGGATTTGGTCAGTGCTTTTCTCCATCTTTTTTGCCAGGTCCTTCTACGGTGGATAATTTTAAGATATTTTAAGAGCACTGAAGGCATGTTTTCAAGTGTCCCATCTTAAAGGCAGGCTATATTTCAGTGCACACCTGGCAGTCTCCATTTCCTTATGCTCTTCATTGTCAGGGGACATTCTATTGTCTCTTTAATGACACAAAGAAAAATGTGATTTCCCTAGGCATTACCGAAAGTATCGGGAACAGTATTGGTTGGGGGGGACACCATATTCCTAAACTGACTATACAAATCACAACAATAATAGCTGTGCAACTGCTTTCAAGATATGCAATCAATACTTTATATTGCAAGGTGATGCTTAAGTACAGAAGTTAGGAACAGAAAATGACTTTCCTGGTTTCAGCCGCTTTGGTGAACTGTTTAGTGTAGTTAGTTTTGTAATGTGCTATTTAAACAAGCTGCCTGTGGCTGAACTTGGTGACTTTTCATTGCTGTACCCTCCTACTGTTCTTCCATGACCTAGGTCATGTAAGTGCTAGGCATTTCTTCATTGTGCAAGTTTGCCCAATTTCACCTCATCCTTCTTTGTGTCACCTGAAATCCTTGTTCAGTAGTTCCTGTGCCCTCCGAACAGGCTCTGGTTTTGCCTAAGAATTCTCATGAAAGTAAAGTAGAAGACTGTTATGACTCTAGGCAAGTCAAGGCAATTTCAGATCAGTACAAAAGGAAGAGGAAGAGTAGAAACTGTAGCTCTAATATCTAGCGCTCCTAGAATGGTCACCATGCTAAAACCACTCCCTTGAGTTCAGAATAGCTTTGGGGCAAGTAATTCGGAAGAGTCGTAGGTGTCATACCTTTACTTAACAGAATGAAGTAAAGGGCTGGGATTAAAAAAAAAAAAAAAAAGGTTTTAGGAGTGACTTCTCATTATTTCAGTGGTGTTGTACTGTCATGAATTATCTCCAAATTTCTCCAAAAGATCTGTAAACTGAAAATTAAAGGCTTCTTGCACTTCTTTGTTACATCCAAGCATCACAGCAAATGTGGATGGCGGTATGGCAGTACCATAAAATGGGGGTTGGTATGGCCCATCACATCACCTGGTATATCTCCCTTTGTTGAACACAAACAAGCAAACCAAAAAAATTCTACCTGGCCCTTTTTTCCCCTCAAACTCTTTCGTAATCAGACCATTAAAAAAATTGGATTAGAATGATAGGCAGCTTGCTGACAGTTCTATACAGTTAGATAAATACGAGCAAATGCTCTAACAGATTACCTTTAATGGAACTTGAACTTAGTGACCTTAACTTAGTGAACTTAGTAAACTTAGTGATCTTAAGCAGGCTGACTATCCCATTGGTAAAATAGGCTGAATGGGACAAAAGGTGTTACAAGCTTCTACCCATAGCAAGTCATAGTATAGTGATCCAGCTACGTTTTTTTTGGGCGGGGGATATAGCATAAGATTTGCAGACCCAGAGTGCCTGGTTTTTAACCTTACTATTTATATTGCAATTATAAGGCCACAATAGTAGAACTAAAGGAACAGACTATGTTCACTCAGGACAGCAGTCAGAGTTTTTATACTGGTCTTAATCAAGGTGTGTGGGGGGGAACTCCGTTATGCTTTAAAATCATGAGGGAAGTGCACATTTTTGCTGCCTATAATTGCAATAGCGTCTCTCTATTCACGAGGCTCAAATCCACTGAAAGATGCTGCATCTACCCTATCTTCCACTCAGCCTCAGATAGAGAAGGACTTACAAGGCAATGATTGGCTCACATTGCAAGTTAGGGCACATTTGTCCATACCTGACCCATGCAACACCACACAGTAACAGAACTGCACAACAAACAGATGCAGTTAAATTCTCCCCCAGGCTAAGGAAGCTTTTTTTTTTGTCTTTGAAACCTTAGATGTTCACTCATTTCAATTCCTCTTACAGGTCACCACTTGTACCATCACACCCCTCTGTCCTGCACCTGGCCCTGGGTCTGACTCACTCCTTGACTGTGGGGATGATGCATCAAGCCTCTTTGCCTCACATTTTCTGCATATCAAATGCAAGTAGTACCTCCAGGGGAAAGTTTCATTCCTGGAGGTGGAAATGGAGGAAAGAATTTATGATGTACACAAGGTCATACACAGGTCTGTTTTGCTGACTGTGGAAGCCCCAGAAGTGCCTTAATATATAAGGTGTAGGTTGTGAAAAGTAAGAGGCAAACTAAGTCTGTGACATCTAGGCGTGCCTTGCTCCTGCAGACTATGGAAGAAGTTCCTTTACATGGGGAAGTCAGGGATTTCTTCCCTTTTTGCCTTTGCCTTGTGCAGAAGATGTAAAGTAGTAGGAAGTTCATGAAATGATTTGAGGTGGTACTCTGAAAAAAGCTAAGTACAGAACAGTACTGCTACTAAAATGTGTCTGAAAAGCAGGAAAGAACCAGAATGGAAATTTTGTACCATCTCCTATTATTTCTTGAAAACTCTGAACATTTTGATAAATCGAGCTATAGGTGACAGCATTTGCACGTCTCTGCACGTGTGTGTGTGTGTGCGTGCGCGTGTGTGTGTGCATCCCCCCACGAATACACATTCAGCACACACCTAGCACATGCTTGGGAAAAACACTGTTTTATGGAGAGTTTTAAATTTTTTTGCATGTGTGTGTGTTTAGCAGTTGAGCACCATTTATCACAGCATCATGAACTGCTCTGCTTCCTTCTTACCCTCTGTTAACCTTCCCTTCTCACGGCGTGCAACTAGGTTTGGAAAGAACAGCATATGCAGTCATAGATGTATCCTTCATGAAAGGAATCGGAGGGAAGGGGCTTTTGTTAAGGCATAGTACAATCTTCAGGTAGC